CCTGTCTCTCTGTATAACTTACTAATCTGTATTACTGACCTGTCTGTATCACCTGTCTCTCTGTATAACTTACTAATCTGTATTACTGACCTGTCTGTATCACCTGTCTCTCTGTATAACTTACTAATCTGTATTACTGACCTGTCTGTATCACCTGTCTCTCTGTATAACTTACTAATCTGTATTACTGACCTGTCTGTATCACCTGTCTCTCTGTATAACTTACTAATCTGTATTACTGACCTGTCTGTATCACCTGTCTCTCTGTATAACTTACTAATCTGTATTACTGACCTGTCTGTATCACCTGTCTCTCTGTATAACTTACTAATCTGTATTACTGACCTGTCTGTATCACCTGTCTCTCTGTATAACTTACTAATCTGTATTACTGACCTGTCTGTATCACCTGTCTCTCTGTATAACTTACTAATCTGTATTACTGACCTGTCTGTATCACCTGTCTCTCTGTATAACTTACTAATCTGTATTACCTACCTGTCTGTATCACCTGTCTCTCTGTATAACTTACTAATCTGTATTACTGACCTGTCTGTATCACCTGTCTCTCTGTATAACTTACTAATCTGTATTACTGACCTGTCTGTATCACCTGTCTCTCTGTATAACTTACTAATCTGTATTACTGACCTGTCTGTATCACCTGTCTCTCTGTATAACTTACTAATCTGTATTACTGACCTGTCTGTATCACCTGTCTCTCTGTATAACTTACTAATCTGTATTACTGACCTGTCTGTATCACCTGTCTCTCTGTATAACTTACTAATCTGTATTACTGACCTGTCTGTATCACCTGTCTCTCTGTATAACTTACCAATCTGTATTACTGACCTACTTACTAATCTGTATTACCTACCTGTCTGTATCACCTGTCTCTCTGTATAACTTACTAATCTGTATTACTGACCTGTCTGTATCACCTGTCTCTCTGTATAACTTACTAATCTGTATTACCTACCTGTCTGTATCACCTGTCTCTCTGTATAACTTACTAATCTGTATTACTGACCTGTCTGTATCACCTGTCTCTCTGTATAACTTACTAATCTGTATTACTGACCTGTCTGTATCACCTGTCTCTCTGTATAACTTACTAATCTGTATTACCTACCTGTCTGTATCACCTGTCTCTCTGTATAACTTACTAATCTGTATTACCTACCTGTCTGTATCACCTGTCTCTCTGTATAACTTACTAATCTGTATTACTGACCTGTCTGTATCACCTGTCTCTCTGTATAACTTACTAATCTGTATTACCTACCTGTCTGTATCACCTGTCTCTCTGTATAACTTACTAATCTGTATTACCTACCTGTCTGTATCACCTGTCTCTCTGTATAACTTACTAATCTGTATTACTGACCTGTCTGTATCACCTGTCTCTCTGTATAACTTACTAATCTGTATTACTGACCTGTCTGTATCACCTGTCTCTCTGTATAACTTACTAATCTGTATTACTTACCTACTTACTAATCTGTATTACCTACCTGTCTGTATCACCTGTCTCTCTGTATAACTTACTAATCTGTATTACCTACCTGTCTGTATCACCTGTCTCTCTGTATAACTTACTAATCTGTATTACCTACCTGTCTGTATCACCTGTCTCTGTATAACTTACTAATCTGTATTACTGACCTGTCTGTATCACCTGTCTCTCTGTATAACTTACTAATCTGTATTACTGACCTGTCTGTATCACCTGTCTCTCTGTATAACTTACTAATCTGTATTACTGACCTGTCTGTATCACCTGTCTCTCTGTATAACTTACTAATCTGTATTACTTACCTGTCTGTATTACCTGTCTCTCTGTATAACTTACCAATCTGTATTACTGACCTACTTACTAATCTGTATTACTGACCTGTCTGTATCACCTGTCTCTCTGTATAACTTACTAATCTGTATTACTGACCTGTCTGTATCACCTGTCTCTCTGTATAACTTACTAATCTGTATTACTGTACCTGTCTCTCTGTATAACTTACTAATCCTGTATTACCTGTCTCTCTGTATAACTTACTAATCTGTATTACTGACCTGTCTGTATCACCTGTCTCTCTGTATAACTTACTAATCTGTATTACTGACCTGTCTGTATCACCTGTCTCTCTGTATAACTTACTAATCTGTATTACTGACCTGTCTGTATCACCTGTCTCTCTGTATAACTTACTAATCTGTATTACTGACCTGTCTGTATCACCTGTCTCTCTGTATAACTTACTAATCTGTATTACTGACCTGTCTGTATCACCTGTCTCTGTATAACTTACTAATCTGTATTACTGACCTGTCTGTATCACCTGTCTCTATGTATAACTTACTAATCTGTATTACCTACCTGTCTGTATCACCTGTCTCTCTGTATAACTTACTAATCTGTATTACTGACCTGTCTGTATCACCTGTCTCTCTGTATAACTTACTAATCTGTATTACTGACCTGTCTGTATCACCTGTCTCTCTGTATAACTTACTAATCTGTATTACCTACCTGTCTGTATTACCTGTCTCTATGTTTAACTTACTAATCATTACACACCCGATATCACTTATATTTTTATTCATGTATTACCTATTTGTTGCAATCCTGTTAATAAAAAATTTTCAAATCTAAGCTAAAATCTTTGTTTCTTTAAACTACGCACAGTTACTGACCAGCAATTCAAGGTCTTGTTCAGTCCTATTGCACAAACTCATTAATTATGAAGACGACATTTTAACGAGGTAATAAAAGAGTACAATGAAAAATTCATTACACAGAAGATGTCATGTCTAAAGCTATGTATGTAGAGTAAACACACGTGATAGGGCGGGTGGAGATAATTATTAGGACTGACGTTTTTATTTGTATGTAGTAAGTGTACTTTTATAATGGAGGTGATAACGTAGACAATTAATTACAAGGCTGTGCTGTAAAAGTACACAGGTAAACACCAGGTAAGGGTAGGTCTCAGACACCTGTAATTGGAGAAGGCTGGTTCACAGGATAAAAAAGTTAACATTAAAAAATAATAAAATAAAAAATCATCTTGATGTTAAATAAAGGTAAAATGTTGCTTCAGACCTCTAAACTTACAGAAAAGTAACAACCTTACCGAGATAAATAATACATACCCCCCCACACACACACAAAAAAAAAGAAATAATAATAATTAAAAGATAAAAGTTTGATCAACTGCTAACTAGCTGGTATTTCATGTCATCAAATTCCGTAATGGTATGGCTACTATCGTACCAACATGTCAACATAATCGCAATTCAAACAAAATTCAATAAAATTATGGCAAATTATGAACAAACGAAAGATTTATATTTATATAGAAACTCTTGGAAAGTATAAGGAGAATACGACCAAGTATTCCAGTAGAGTAAGCGTCTTCTGCTTCATCGACGACAACCGCCATGTAAACCTTGGTCAATTCCAGTAAGTAATGTCCCGTTCTCAAATGAGAACAAGGTATACTTCATGCATGAAACAATCGAGTTCAAACATGTTCATATCGCTCAAAGATATAAAATATTTCTTATGATGACCATAAAACTTCCCCATAATTTCCAGTAACCGGCATCTTTTGAATATGGAATCAGCTGCGACATGTGGTCACCATCTGTTTGGGATGCAGGAATACTGCTATCCAGAAATGGGAAATTCACAAGAAGGAAATTGAAATTGTTGACGGTATGTTTTAGAAATCACTAGCAAAACAGAATGAGTTATTATAAAATCAAGTTCAACTTGTCGTGTTATATAAAAAAAGACAAAGCATACATGTTTCTATAATAAAAAAAAAAGCTTCTGAACGGAATTCAAATATCTGTAACATTCAAGATGGCCGCCAAGGCATCCATCTTGAAAGTCTTGTTATCACAACCCCAAGTAACAAAGCATGGCCCGCATTGACACAAAGTAAAATTCGAACCAATAACATATCGGTGATCCTCTTCGATACAGCACTAGAATGTAATTAGTGAGTAGGACCATAGTGCATAGAGGAAATTCCTCGTTACACTGTTGGTCGGCATTGACATATAGATATTTTCCATTAATGAGTTGTGTTGGGATCCCAGACTGTTGCTACTGATATGCGTTTATTCGCCACATTTAGGAAGGCCGTCGTTTTTGAGTGAGAGAGAGAGAGAGAGAGAGAGAGAGAGAGAGAGAGAGAGAGAGAGAGAGAGAGAGAGAGAGAGAGAGAGAGAGAGAGAGAGAGAGAGAGAGAGAGAGAGAGAGAGAGAGAGAGAGAGAGAGAGAGAGAGAGAGAGAGAGAGAGAGAGAGAGAGAGAGAGAGAGAGAGAGAGAGAGACTTCTAGCACTTCACAAACTTCTAGCACTTTTTTGGAGAAAACCCACTGGTCGACACTCGCAGTCGTGACTACCGTCATTTTGTGTTTTGATGGGAGATAAACGAGTTCGTCACTTGACCTTTTGGGAACCTGTCAGATTGTAATGATTTTAAACTTTCCCGTGTCGCGCATGTGCATACACCTTGTTTACTCTCTCCGAACGATAATGTTATGAATCAGTGTTAGGTCGCTCATATTTTATTTTCATTCTTTGGTGATGTTTTTTTGTTTTTTTTTTGTTTTTGTTTTTGTTTATTTTTTATCAAATGGTTATGCAAACTTTTAGATATTTTAATCAACAGAAATTAAACCATTTTAAACATATTTTTAAATGTAATGCTTATTATCAGTTATGTTATGATAATTTAACAATGTAATCCCTTTATGCATATGATAAATATATGTTGGTAATTCAGTTAAGTAATTACGTCATTCGGCAGAATACATTTTTTGACAAATTAATTACGTGACATGCGTTTACAATACTGCTACATGTTGTGTCTTCAGATATACCAATGTTAATGTTCTACCAAGTCAGTTAATAGTTTTGTAAATCATTTAAAAATTCTATCGAAACTTTCGATAATCTGAACATTACTTGTCTGTTTTGTCAACAGAACATTCCGACTCCCATGAGGATTTCATCAGAAATTCAAGAATTTTGATCGAGTCAACGAAAAACAAAATGGAACGGGTACAGACAATGTCAAATGAGCTGGGCTATATCACTAGTCTTATAAAGGATGATCGGAGACAGGCAACGAAATCCAAACAGCAAATATCCAACCAATCAAAACAGGGCATTGTTGACGTCAGAGAACCTGGTGTCCAGAAGGATAATAGGTCAGTTCGACAGTCAGTGCCTGGACATATCGTGTTCGATAAAACAAGGAGAAGGGAGACAATGCCGAAAGTAAACAAGATGAGGAAGTTGACTGATAGAAGAAGGTTAAGGCTGATCGAAAATACCCTACAAAAGGTAAAAGAGGCAGACGCGAAGGAGACAGAAATACCACAATCAGAATCAGCGGGATCGACTAAAGCACACAAAATAGTGATCCCTCGAGATACAAGTTTTGACGGGAAAACGGAAGCCATCAAATCAAACCCCGATCATGTGATTAGTAATGACACAAAGACCGGAAGTTACGTTTTGCCAGGCTGTTTATGCGACTGTGGGGGTAATCTCATAGCTGATGAATCGGCAGAGAGAGCAATCGCCGAGAAACGTCGAGCCAAGTATGTAACCAAACCACGTGGTCCTGTATCAAAGCATTGCTGTGTGAGTGACTTTAGTTCTTATCAGGGTCCGGTAATATTAGCAGACGAGGACACAGCCTTCTCACGCCTTCCGGCTTTACTTGTGCAAAATATTCAAATTCCTTCGCCAAGGCCGAAGTCAAATATGGACACCAGGTGCAAGGACACCATACAAATAGTAAAAGACTCCAATTCATTTAATTCATGTCTTAATAAAGACGATATCCGAAACGCAGAGAAACGGAAACTAAAAAACTGGTGGCATCATAGATGTACTTGTGTGCAAGAGTACATCCGACAGAATGAACAAATGGAATCGAGGCGACCGACACTGAAACCAAACAAAGTGACTTTACAGACAGCTGGAGTTTCCTCGACGAATTCTGGGTCGGGGAATTTCGTGCCGTATGAAGAAGTATCCATTGGATACAGAGTAATGCTGGGAGGCCAGACTTCCTTCCCAATTAGTATACGTCATTTGAGGAAATTCAGGACACCGATAAGACGATAATGACACGTGTTTCTAATGGAAATGTGGTCTGTAGCTTTACATTAACGTCAAAGTGTTGATGTAACAGTGGCTGAACAATGCTACGTTAGCGACCCGAAGCTATTCTAGAATGCCTGGAAATTCCAGTACATTTGTTTATCTACGCGCGAATTCTTTACGCCAACTTCTTAGTTGTTGTATTTATTTGTGGTATCGTTTCAAAGATATCTAAGATAGGTTGTGGAGTGTGGGTGGGTAGGAAATGTAGGGCACTGTCGATTTGCCGTAATTTAGACGGAGTTGCTTATTATCTGCAATCGCTCAGTTATCACTATTTCACAGAAACCAGAAGATAACATAATGACGTCATTCAGTGCGTTGTCATCATGATGTCATTATCGTGACAATGGCCCATCGTCAAAATGACTGTTCCACTTGATGGAAGTGGCCTGTGTAACAAATGTAAATAGTTTTACGCATTGAAAAGTCCCATCATGGTATTCATACTCGTTATAAATGACACCTGTACGAGCAAATATACCGATAATCGGTAACGCGGAATATGGAGTATAATCATATAAAACGAGCATAAATGCCACAACTAGAAATTCCCAGACTTAATTTGGTGTGTTGTTATGGTTATAACGGAGTTTGGCCCGAGGTATCCTCTTCTTGTCCCCTTTAATGTTTCGATAGCCAAATAAATCTTCCTTTCGCATATGCATACCAGTATATTGATAATCTCACAACATTAGAATAGTCACAGAAAGAAATTATCATTTTTAAATATTTCTCTATAGATGTCTGTAAATTCATCGTCGTTACTTACCTGTGAAATTCACTCAAATAACCGATGTTTTATTGATGTACTTATCTGACTGACATTCTTCGCAAAATCAATATATAGTCCCACAGACTCCTGTCAATTATACATCAAATATATCGATTGATGACCTTCTAAATACATTTTATTTCTTTATTGTTGTGTAGGTGTGAGATATAGTTATAAATACATCTGATTATTCACTTATTGTATTGTCTATGTACATTTATATGGAATAATTATGTATTCAATTAAAGTAAAATATTGACATGTTAAAATGTTTAGTAACTTGTTAGTTTTTAAAAATTACGGTTCTAAAAAACATAAAACAAATATTAACAATGCAACATAATCCTAATCTCAAATTCCATAAAGCTAGGGCAAAACATGAACAAAACAAAGATTTACATGGAGACTCCTGAAAAAGTACAAGGATAATAAGACCAGATGTTCCGGAAGAGTAAGCGTCTTCTGCTTCATCGACGTCACCTGACCTGTAAACTTTGGTCAATCCGGGTAAATAAAGTTACGTTCTCGAATGAGAACAAGATATACAACAACGGAACCAACAGGCAAACCGTGAACGAGCATCAAACATGTCAAGCTTCATATCAGACAACGAAATGAAACAATATGTCTAAATGAGATGATTATGGCGACAATAAACTTCTCCAGAATTTCAAAACGAAATGTTACTAGTGAGTTTCATGTTCAAGATTAGCAGAGCACTAAATATATAACCCTCGTTAGACAAAGTTTTATTAATATCATTGATATTATTAGGTAAATGATAATAAGTATTTACGTATTTAATGTATGATATATGTGTGCTTTATTGACTGTTGAATACACTATTGATATACACTCTGCTAAACACAGCTTATCCTCGGTATCGGCTGGTGACCACATTCAGATGAAAAGTCTTCGTTTTACGTAATGTTGCAGTATTTACTTGCTTTAAGATGCTATATCAGACATCGTACTATCAACAGTTCACATTGTTTATAAGATCAAGAGTATACATCCACCGTTTGCTCCACAGTACATTAGCAATTAACATCTAGTTACTCTTGCATGTTGTTTGCATCTTAAAGAAAACGTGGTCAAAAAGTTTCTGGTGAAACTTCCAATTCGTTCAGAAGCTTTGTAATATTGACTCTTTCAAACGCTCATGAAATAGCGTAAACAAGATGGCGGCAAGTGGATTGGCAGATGACATGAAGTAGAATTGAATAGCGTATATTTCGTCGATGAAGCCTTACACAATGTCACTGTCAGATCATCTAAATTAGTCATAATGAACTTTGTTGTCGCTGTATAGTCGTTATCGTCGTTAACATAAAACCAATAGATTATTACATATATACTTATCTAATTATTGTTATGATCCACCAATAGTACGGCGTGAAGCCTGGGAAGAAAAACAAAATATAAAACACGTTTGATAGGAACTTTATTTTATTATCAAATCATTAAAAAATAACGTACAAAATATGCTTGGAGAGCTATAGGCTTGTAATCACTCTACAAATCTAAGGCACTAATAAATGCGTAGACTAAATTTTTTTTTTCAAAACTTATTGAATAAACTTCAGTAAGCATTGCATATATAGTGTAATATGGTACTGTAACTACACGGGCTTACCTGTAAACTTTCGTACGAATGAAAAAAAAATGTGACGAGTTTCACATAAGTTCACAAAATACATGAAAACAAATTGAAGATTCTTTTATCACATGATTGATTTTTTAAGCAAATATGGTAGAAAATGACAAAAAGTGAAAATTAATGTGTCGTCACTCTAAATCTATAATCTCCATTGTTGTGTCACATTGTCATCTGTATGTAATGATATTTCATTATCAAAAGCTTTATATGGGTATATTAAAACGTTATATGTGTAACCCTGGTAAAATACTAGCCGCAATATACCACTCGGCTAGAGAGAACTTCTCTTTAGCTCGATTGGTTGAGCGTCAGACTAGTAAGCCAGGGGTCCCGGGTTCGATTCCTAGCGGAGGCATTGAGATGAAAAATGACCTCTGTTACATTGGCGCCCAACGTGTATTTGCGAGGAAGACCAAATCTGAAGAAGACCTAAAATTAAAAATACAATTATAAATACACATTCACTCACACACCTTGCACACTGCGGTAAATTATGAGGAATGTATTTATAGTTTGAAGATTACAATATATTAATGTGACTTATATTAATTAAGCTTACCAGGGACGCCGGCTTTGGTGCTCTCGCTTCAGATTTGACAGGTTAGCCTACGTGTTGACTGTCTGAGTGATGCTGTGCGAGTGTGGTGGCTCTTGGTGGAGTTGGCGGTGACTGGACAGAGGACGTGAAGTCCGTGCTCGACGTGCACATACATACATTCTTTCATACTTGCTTTACGCGCGATGATTTAAAATGATGTATTCTATCACCTGGCTACATATGGGTATATTAAAACGTTATATGGGTACATTAAAACGTTATATGGGTATATTAAAACGTTATATGGGTATATTAAAACGTTATATGGGTATATTAAAACGTTATATAAATTTATTGGATAACAAGGTAAGTGTGTGATAGATTTAGATTCAATATGGATATTTCACCTTAAAAATAACTGATACATCAAAGAATTTTCTGAGAGTTTCATCTGTATTTTATCGCGAGTGTTCGACGGAAAAAACTCTCCCTTCTAAAGATCTAGTATATAGCCAACAGAGTGTAATAGTTAGAACAGATCCGGTCTTTTGTAAAGGAGATAGTGACAATTTTACCGACCACTCATTATAAAAAAATGTACAGATGGCATAGTTGATAGACCTTAGTATTCGGTAAGGAACAGTTTAAATGTCACTATTGCAAAATTAGCTAGATGTACACCAATAACTTGTTCCATTTAATTACCAAAGCACATCCAGTATCAGCACGTGCTCCATGATGTTTCAATAATTAACTATATTTGGTGAGATTAATGTGGATTACGTAATGTTACAGATTTTAATAGGCGACACCTTAAGTTCAAACAAAGAACATACAAGTCAACAACTCCAAGAACAAAAAAAGTACCACTACATTAAATGCATTGTATAACCTATCATAGTTTAGTACGAAGGTCAAAATTAAGGTCAGGAAGACCTACTTCTGGTACAGCACGAACTGCCAACCTGGATGAACCCATACCGCGAGTATGAAGTTCAAATGTCAAACGGTGCAGGATATGGACCGAGAGCGAAACATTTATGTCAATGTCAAAATTTAAAAGTTAAGGGACCCGCTAGTAGTTCATGATACACCGCCTCACATAGCCCCAAGTACTAAGTTCCAGCAACAAGCGGTGTAAGAGGTACGACCCGAACTACTTTGATGTAGGGCAAATGTTAAAATATAGGTCAGAGTGACCTAATTTTGATCATATTACCTCACCGGAGCAAACAATCTTGTGGTGTAGGAGATAGAGCCCATACAAACTTTAGGTTAAAATGAAGGTCAGAGTGACATACTTGTGATACATGATGCCTGACTCACCTAGTTAAAGCCATATCATGTATGACAGTGACCAGTAGCGAAAGAAACGGAGCCTGGACAAAAAACTCTTTCTTTGACATAAAACAACGGTCAAAATGTAGGTCAGAGTAACCTACTTTTGATACACGACACACCGCTCCACTAAGTGAAAAACATAGCCCGGGCGAGATAAAAGTGAAGAAGGGCACAACGCAAACCTATATCCCCCCTTCACCCGCCCCCTGGTACTAGATGGAGGACCAATGCACATTTCATTAAAAACATCACTGTATACGATAACCTAACATTGACTGAAAATGATGAGTATAAATTGTCTAGTTTCAGTATATTGACAATAATAATATAATTTCTTTATAAAGAGAAAATCAACTCTAGTGGGATTGATTACAGAGGACGTGTTAATGTCACTTGTCTTGTAAGAAGAATCAGTGATCCATGACAAAGGAAATCACTGATCCATTTGAAAAAAATTACAAAACAAATTAGTGTACCGTTATAAAAGGAAATCATTGATCCATGACCAAGGGTATCACTGACCCATAACATAAACAAATCACTATCTATTTCAGGACTGTACTTAAGGCCACGATGACAATCAGAAACACAAACAGCACGAAGAAAATTCTGTCAAGGCAACGACCAACTTCCTGCCAATCACGTGCCAGCTTCTCATAAGCGCTTTCTCGAATAACCTTTCCCGCCATAATTTTTGTGTTGTTTGATACATCCCGGAAGTGTTCATCCGACACCGAGATGTCGACATTGTCTAGGCCACTGTCATGTGCCATGTCCTGGTTTTCCTCCAACAAACGGATATTCATTGGCGTATCGACTCCCTGGAATCCTTGGAAATTGCTGTCCAGACAAAGACATCTCCGAACACATCGACTGTTGATACAAAGCTGTTAAAAAGAAATAGTAAATAGTATCGATCGGGAATGATCTACGTAATTGTAGTAATGCGAATGTTTTTTCTGGATTACTGAATATATGCGTCCTTAGATGAGCTAATTATTTTGAATGGTTCATCAATTTGTAAATTTAAGTCTCAAACTGCTTTTAAGGATTTCATATCCTAAGTCGCAAACATATTGGATGATTACATGCAAGGGATATACTTTATATGTAAGCAAACATGTTAATTCATATGTTCCAAAGATTGTAAAAAAAGACACACAAATGAAGATCACCTATTTATACAAATTAGGAGTGAGACATAGTAAAACTATTAATACATATATGTTGCGTCTTACAGGTATTTCCTCCTTCTAGGGCAAGTGACCGTAATCACACATGAGTTAAATAACGTAAGCTTAACCTACTTAGAAACAACTACGAAATTAGCAAGTTAAAGAACGTTTAAGTAACTACGTTAAAGAAGGTGTAACTAGGGCAAAAATGACAGCATTCATATGTCCATATGTTGAAGTATGTTAAAGTCGAGTAACACACGTGAGTTACGTGTAAGTAAGGCAAATGGGTGAGTGTGTTAATGGAAGAGTTAGACACCGATACACTACTTTACAGAACGTCAGGGAGAACCTTGAATTACGCTACAGCACGACTAACTACATTAAACTACGTTAAACTACTGTCATAGGAGGAAGTACGCTAAGGTATGTAAACGTACGTTACCAAAGTACCTTAACGTACACTGAAGTGCGTTACCAAAGTACCTTAATGTACACCGAAGTACGTTACCAAAGTACCTCAACGTACACCGAAGTACGTTACTAAAGTACTTTAACGTACACCGAAGTACGTTACCAAAGTACCTTAACGTACATCGAAGTGCGTTACCAAAGTACGTTAACGTACATCGAAGTACGTTACCAAAGTACCTTAACGTACACCGAAGTATGTTACTAAAGTACCTTAACGTACACCGAAGTACGTTACTAAAGTACCGTAAAGTACTCCCGAAGTACGTTACCAAAGTACCTTAACGTACACCGAAGTATGTTACCAAAGTACCGTAAAGTACACCCGAAGTACGTTACCAAAGTACCGTAAAGTACACCGAAGTATTTTACCAAAATACCGTAAAGTACACCCGAAGTACGTTACCAAAGTACCTTAACGTACACCGAAGTATGTTACCAAAGTACCGTAAAGTACACCCGAAGTACGTTACCAAAGTACCGTAAAGTACACCCGAAGTACGTTCAGTTATTTTCGCGCTTGCTGCAGTTATCATTTAAACATGTTCAAAAGATAAATGCGACTCACTGCTTTCTCGAGATTTTACAAATTATTCTCAAGTAACAACACGGCAGGCTGCGGTATTCAATAAGTTAAATGAGTTAAGGGACGTTAAATTACTCTAGTATGTTAAGGAATATTCCTTTATTTAAAATTGCCTATAAGAAAGCATTGAATTAAATTTCCTTAAATTGAAGTGTTTTTTTTTTAAACTTTGCAATGCTCTTCTATAGTAATTATGATTTCCTTAAGTTAAGGACGATTTATGAAACTGTGGCCTGACCTCTATGATCTAATGAACAGATAATGATACAAGGTTATTATATATAAAGAATGTACTTACAGATCCAAGCCAGGCAGGTAACGGTTTTCTTCTCATTCCATTGTGGCGCAGATTTCCAATAAATGTGGTACATAGAATACTGAAGAATTGTAGTACGAAAATTGCGAAGTAATACACGACTGAAACAGAAAAAAACCATCACAATATGATACGTCTAAAACAGATACATGACATAGTTAACAAAACATAAATAAATCGAAACTGAACTCCGACTTTTGATTCCAAACAGTTTATAATATCGTTGGTGTGAGGTTTTACCCGGACACTCCCACACCAAGACCACTCGCGAGCTTCCATCCAGTCAAACAAAATTAATTTGTTTAACAAACAAAAACAAAATAAAAAAAAAATAGAAAAGAAAAATAAAAGAACAATCGGTTTAGCAACAATTTGCCAGTTTTTTTCCGGATGATACCCTCTGTTACGTGTAAAGGACCAGACTAGATCTTTATTTCTGAAATCTAGCAAATCGCAATGGAAAAATATAATCTAGCTCATGATAGGCCCGCTTTATTTTTGAGAATTAAATTACATAAACATCTCAATGTTATCAGTGTGATAGCAATATCGTCTAAACAAGTATTTGCATACCCATTGGAACAAACTGTTCCCCCCTCCCCCTCGTAGCTGACTTTTTTTTTCATACCCTATAAAAGGTATCAAAGACCTTATCCTTTCATTCCACAGAATTACAAGAAATTTATCATTATGTCCGTCGTGTATATGAATTTGAAATCAAGGGTTCCGAGAGATTCAGATTAATGGAAATTGGGCAGCTTTTGACGTAACAATCAAATAAAAATAAAAACAAAGAATGCACACACGTGAAAAGAACCATGATCTAAATTCCAGAACACTTGGAGAAATATGAACAAAAAAAGGCACTATCGAAAACCACAAGGAGTAAGCATCTGTTGCTCCATCGAGGACATCCGCCATGTAAACTTTGGTCACTCCAAATAAGTGTCACGTTCTCAGATATTGATAAGGTATGCAACAACAGAACCAACAGGCAAACTAACGAACCTTATGTCGTACAAAGAAATACAGTATTTCTCAATGAGATCACTATGGCGACCGTGAAAGGAAATGATCTAGACAAGTGACTGACATAGAAGAACATGTCGTGTCCTTGATTTCCAATTCTGGTGGGTATATAGACAATAGCAAGTCTGTCCACAGAGGGGCACAATTAGTTCTCATAGGTATAATCGGTTGTGTGATCTTATAACCAAACCGAACCAGATCATTTCAGCTAGAAACTCGATCAATTATTATGACTGCGTCCTCCCTATATTTCTTAAAATCACGAAACACGCTTTAGTAAAGCTTACAATTATGCTTTTACCTTTCTTGGAAAGAAACTTCTTGTAGAAGTATATTAAGAGAACAAGGCGTTCGCTCAGCTTAGAATGGGACATGGTGATGTATAGAGTGGAAAAAACCAATGTTCTCAAAGAAAATCAATTTTTTAAAGTGGATGTGGAACATTGGTCAACATGTTCTTTAAAATCCACTTAAGATTGATTTCGCTTCATGACAGTTTCACAATAAAACTGTGACCAGATACGTAGAGCGGTGATAAGACGTTTGGCGGGGTTGCCTTCGTTATCATGCAAGCCTATTTTTTGTATGCATGATGTGTAATAGTATCTGCAGGCAAGGATCAAGTTATTGGATTTCTTATCTACAGGAACAATAACATACACGCCATGTAACTCTTGAAGTGTGGATTTAACACCAGAAGAGAGGAATACTGTTTTCAAGCTGTGATTTCTTTTTCGAAAAATATGGACCGAATGGATTCAAGCAGAACGTTTTCGATGTTCGTTAGATTTAATTTCACAAAATTTTATCGAAGAATATATCTTATCAATAACACAGTAAACTGGAAGTCTATATATTGACAATAATTGTCCAAGGGAAGCAACTCTTGTTATTTTATGAAGTGGTTAAGACTTAAAAAATCCACAAGAAATAATCTTCCATCGTGTATTTATATAAAACTTGTCTATGATGCTTTTACACGGGGTTTGAATCAAAGACTCCATAGTTCAACAATAGACCCTCTCAAAAAGGCTAGTATAACGGATAAACATTTAATTAATACGAATACCTGTAAATGAGTGAAAACAAAATGACGTTTGTGCAATATTAGAAAATGGTAATGTTTTACCAAGGGGGTTACCAAAATCATTCAAGCGTGAAAGTCTGTATTAGCGAAAGAGCTGCGAGAGGTTTTCTGCGACTAACTTGTATCTTCGCTTGAATTTCATAAACATTCAAACTGACAACTGTTCCTTGGATCCTTAGGACTTAGAAATCACCGAATCTTGCTATCTATCAACTTTATCATTATGCCCCGGTTGTCACAAGTACAGAGAGAAAGGGCTGTAGGCATGATCCAGGCTGGGGAGTCTCGCCGTCGAGTTGCACGGCATTTTGGTTGCAGTGTTAAGACAATTTGCCAGTTGGTAAGTCGTTTAAACCAAACTGGGTCAACATTCGATCGTCCCCGAAGCGGCTGACCCCGTAAAACGACCGCCAGGGATGACCATCGTATACGATTTATACACTTGCGCAATCGATTCGTAACCGTAGTAGAGACTACAAGGACATTGTTTGGGCGTCGTGTGTCTCCCCAAACAGTCCGCAACAGGTTGAGGGCCTACCAATTGAAAGCGCGGCGTCCCTACACTGGACCCAATTTGTTGCGACGTCACCGTAATAATCGGCGTAACTGAACCCGTGTTCACCGTCGCTGGGCCTTACGACAATGGAACAATGTTCTGTTTTCAGATGAGTCCAGGTTTTGTCTGCAACACGGTGACGGAAGGCGCAGAATGTGGCATTCGATATCGGGACGAAATTTTAAGACCAGTGCCATTCTTAAGACGCCATGGCGTTGGCGCCATTTTTCAACAGGATAACGCACCAGCGCAAACCAGTCGCGTCAGCAGAACTTTCTTTCAGCAGAATAACGTACAGGTGTTAGATTGGCCATCTAAATCACCTAATTTGTCACCGATTGAGCATGTCTGGGACGTTCTTGGGCGACGCGTGAGAGAACGTCAAAATCAGCCGTCAAACTTGCAGGAGCCTTGATCGCTGAATGGAACAACATCTCTCCTCGAATTATCCGCCGGTTTACGAGTTCCATGCGACGACGCTGCAATGCTGTTTACTTCGCAAACGGTGGCCATACCCGTTACTAATGGTGTTACCTTTGAAATTGACCCCAACGTCCTTTACAGTCGAATAAAATCAACTGAACGCAAAGTTTTATAATGAACCATGACTGCAGTTTTATCAGAATTGATCAATTACTTTATTCGTACATGATTGGTAAGGATTTATGAAGGGGTTAATTAATTAATCACAGAATAAAGTAGTGTTACCTTTCGTTTTTTGTTTAGTATATAAACACGGGATTATTCTTATTAATCACAAAGATAAGATTATCAGTATTAATCTATTTCATTTTATAAAAATAATATTTGAAAATAATTTAAGATTTTCTCTCTTTCAAGTAGGTGTTCCCATCTCAAATCTGTGTGATATTTTAAATGCAAGTATCGTTATCATCCCTAATACCTCAGGATCAATAGATAATAAAATAGATTTTAGTCATAATCAGGACATTTGGTCCATACAACATCAGCATATTCTAACAAAGACCCCATAAATAAAATATACGTGATAGTGAGGGAATTTTAATCAACTTATTGACTAAGGACAAATTCTGTTTAACACGGATACTGAGAGAATTTTAATCAACTTATTGACTAAGGACAAGATCAGTTTAATACGGATACTGAGAGAATTTTAATCAACTTATTGACTAAGGACAAATTCTGTTTAACACGGATACTGAAAGAATTTTAATCAACTTATTGACTAAGGACAAATTCTGTTTAACACGGTTACTGAGAGAATTTTAATCAACTTATTGACTAAGGACAAATTCTGTTTAACACGGTTACTGAGAGAATTTTAATCAACTTATTGACTAAGGACAAATTCTGTTTAATACGGATACTGAGAGAATTTTAATCAACTTATTGACTAAGGACAAATTCTGTTTAACACGGTTACTGAGAGAATTTTAATCAACTTATTGACTAAGGACAAATTCTGTTTAACACGGATACTGAGAGAATTTTAATCAACTTATTGACTAAGGACAAATTCTGTTTAACACGGTTACTGAGAGAATTTTAATCAACTTATTGACTAAGGACAAATTCTGTTTAACACGGTTACTGAGAGAATTTAATCAACTTTACTGACTAAGGACAAATTCTGTTTAACACGGTTACTGAGAGAATTTTAATCAACTTATTGACTAAGGACAAGATCAGTTTAAGACGGATACTGAAAGAATTTTAATCAACTTATTGACTAAGGACAAATTCTGTTTAACACGGTTACTGAGAGAATCTTAATAACTTTATTGACTAAGGACAAATTCTCTTTAAGATCGATAGTGAGAATTTCAATCAACTTTTATGACTAAGGACAAATTCTATTATTTTTATCACCTGCCCATACATTGATATTACGCATTACCGATTCGTCAATAACTCTTCATGATTGACATCACAGAAGATAAATCTGAATTCTCTATTTTCATCAGAGCTTTATTGTATGATAAAGTGAAACTAACTGTTTCACTTTATCACTTTAACATTTTTCTATTATTTCACTAAAACATGAAGTAACTGATATTGGTCTATATTTAGAAGCACTGCTTTCATATCATTTTTCATTCAGTAAAATTTGCGACTTTCTAGCTTGATAGATGAAATGATACCTGTTTGTCACACAGTAACGATTGAGGAAGACATATTGACGGAGTAGTTTTTTCCCCTTCTCTTTTAAAGAAAACAGCAGTTTATTGTCACATCTTGTTAAAAAATAAGTAGGTAATCACAATAAATGGACTAAATTTAATCATTTGTCAGGTGAAGATGATGACGATGTAGGCGTCGAAACGTCACACCTAATTTTCCAACTGGATGTAAGGACATATATTCAAAAGGTTTCAAATCAACAAGGACCGGGACTGTAGCTTCATCAAAGGGGACAGCCTCCTGGAAGACCGCTGTTACTTACCAAGGACCGGGACTGTAGCGTGATCAAAGAGGATAGCCTCCTGGAAGACCACTGTTACTTACCAAGGACCGGGACTGTAGCGTGATCAAGGGGACAGCCTCCTGGAAGACCACTGTTACTTACCGAGGACCGGGACTGTAGCGTGATCAAAGGGGACAGCCTCCTGGAAGACCACTGATACTTACCAAGGACCGGGTCTGTAGCGTGATCAAAGGGGACAGACTCTTGGAAGACCACTGTTACTTACCGAGGACCGGGACTGTAGCGTGATCAAAGGGGACAGCCTCCTGGAAGACCACTGTTACTTACCAAGGACAGGGACTGTAGCGTGATCAAAGGGGATAGCCTCCCGGAAGACCACTGTTACTTACCAAGGACCGGGACTGTAGCGTGATCGAAGGGGACAGCCTCCTGGAAGACCATCATCAATACAGTCATCGTCATCAGCAGAATCATTCCTGATGAAGTTAACAAGAAACATAATTAAGTGTTATGGTTGTAATCTAACTGTTTCTATTTTTTATGCTGAATATCATAACACACAAACAAGATGTTATAGTATCGTCACTATCAAAATTAAATGAAAGAATTGGTATTGTGTACACAAAATGTCTATGCATGTGGGGTGCCTCTGGCACCTAACGGTAGTTTTATTCTGTCTACAAAATATCACTTACATCAAAGCAATCAGAACAGGGAATTGTATCCAGTAGTTTGAATCACCTACTTCCTAATAGCAGTGATGAGATAAAATTTACCAAATTGGAATGTGTTTGTAGCACTGTTTCCAAATTATAGGTGTTCTTTTTATTAACTTTAACATGAAGGTTACCGATGTAAGCTTTCATTGACCTCTGTAATGATTCCCTGTATCCCCTTGATTACACGGGTTTCTATGTTAGATCATCATTATAAAACCAATAAACGATGAACTAGTGACTATTGATATCGTAGATGAGTCGTGGTAAATGTTTTCAATGGTATTTATACTTCACGCTGTTTTATCTCGACACCAAGTTATGACTTGGACTGACCTGGACTTAGTTGTGGTATGACTTGGATTGACCAAGACGTAGATGTGGTATGACTTGGGTTGACCTGGACTTAGATGCGGTATGACTTGGATTGACCTGGATTTAGATGTGGTATGACTTGGATTGACCTGGACTTAGATGCGGTATGACTTGGATTGACCTGGACTTAGATGCGGTATGACTTGGATTGACCTAGACTTAGATGTGGTATGACTTGGGTTGACTTAGATGTGGTACTTGACTTGGACTTGGATTGACCTAGACTTAGATGTGGTATGACTTGGGTTGACCACCTAGACTTAGATGTGGTATGACTTGGGTTGACCTGGACTTAGATGCGGTATGACTTGGATTGACCAAGACGTAGATGTGGTATGACATGGGTTGACCTGGACTTAGATGCGGTATGACTTGGGTTGAGCTGGACTTAGATGCGGTATGACTTGGGTTGACCTAGACTTAGATGTGATAGTACTTGGATTGACCTAGACTTAGATGTGGCCGATGACGCAGTCTACAATATCGGATAGCCTGTCTTAATTCACCTTGATTTTTTCTGTGTCTTTTGTGTATGAATAGATCCGTTTAAAGCTGAGGCAATACGGTTATTTTCTCCGATGATAAATTGTTTGTGCAGATTATTTCATTGTGAAACACGGTCTGTGTCCAATAAACACAATATAACGCTTGTTTTCCTGATTCAAACCGCTGACGATGCTAACAACTACCATTTTAAGATAAGATACAATATCAGGCCTTTTTTCAATTTGAATGTGTTCGAAACATACCGTAATTTGTTCTGCTTGTCTGATCAGGAGGAAGCAAAAAGACCACAGGAATAAGGATGGCAAGGAATACAGAAGGTCCCACCAGTGCGAGTCTGTAATACGACGGTATTCTAGAAACGGTGATTTCTAGCAAAAGGTTTACGTATTGCTCCGGGCAACACGTGTACTTCACGTGTTGTATTTGAGCCGTCATAGCATCCAGCGTCCATTGAGGGTGAGAGAATCGCTCCATGTCACCTAAGGTCTCCATTATATCTTGTTTCTCGGTTTTACCTTGATACGTCAGGTTTTGTTCGTCGCTGCTATATGTCCAAGGTCCCATCTTGAGACGACACGTTTGCGTGTCGTAAGGGAACTTAGACAGGTCAAGAGGACAATAGAATGAAATCGTCTGTGACGGGATATACACCACATTTCCAGTAGAGCTGACAATAGCATTGGCGGTCATGGTTTTACTAGGGTGGAACGGTGACCTATCAGAAAATAACATTATTCGTAAAACTAGGCAGATCAGATAATGTTTTGAAAGACTTTTACATAACCAGGACTACTACTGAAATAATTAATTAAAGGTCAACCTGAGCGTTTCACCAAGTTGTGTTTAAATTATTAATATGTGAAAGTATTATCCGAATTTGGCAACGGGTTTTCTGGTAATACGGCTAAAACACAAAGTCACCTTGTGAAAGCAGCGCTTTATAAAATCTCATGTTTCTTGTAAGCAAATGTTTCTAAAGACACATGCCTCATATAACTTGATATACATAATTCATTGTCTACTTCCTCTCATTAAAATTTAAGGTATGAAGAATGATCTGTTAGTTTTCCTCCGAATGCGTCCTCAGGTTTAGGGATGGACACTAAATACAATAATGAGGATGCTGGTTATACATTTCAAAGACTGAAAATAAAAAATCGGATATTACACATTGTAAACCTCCGATTCGGGAATCCATATTGAGTTTGCAGGAATACTGATTTTCTCCAGGTTCCCAAAGTCCGATGGATTCCACTTTAATCTTTCATCATGCCAAAACTGGAATATATAAACATATATTAGAATGTACCTTTGTAGTGGGACAATAGACGGTAACAGCGACTAGATACTGTAGACAGTCACCAAACGTTATAGTATGGATCGTCACACTTACCATAGCATGAAAAAACGAAACTGTCATGGTGTCTGTAGCGGTTTCCTGTAAACAAAAACAGAGAGTGTGGATAGACAACCAGGAAGTGGGCTAAGGCTTATCACAACAGGGGGTATTGCAAAACGCAGTTAGACACAGTAGAGCCAAATAATTAACTGAACTGCTTCATGCAGCTAATTCATCCTTAAAAGATTCGTCAGTGTTACGACATCACACAACTATTTCATTCTTCTAAGTTTCGTCAGTGTAACTACATCACAAAACTGTTTCATTCTTCTAAGTTTCGTCAGTGTAACTACATCACAAAACTGTTTCATCCTTCTAAGTTTCGTCAGTGTTACTATATCACACAACTGTTTCATCCTTCTAAGATTCTTCAGTGTTACTATATCACACAACTGTTTCATCCTTCTAAGATTCACCAGTGTTACTACACCACATAACTGTTTCATCCTTCTAAGTTTCGTCAGTGTTACTATATCACACAACTTTTTCATCCTTCTAAGAGTCGTCAGTGTTACTATATCACACAACTGTTTCATCCTTCTAAGATTCACCAGTGTTACTACATCACAACTGTTTCATCCTTCTAAGTTTCGTCAGTGTTACTATATCACACAACTGTTTCATCCTTCTAAGATTCGTCAGTGTTACTATATCACACAACTGTTTCATCCTTCTAAGATTCACCAGTGTTACTACACCATATAACTGTTTCATCTTTCTAAGATTCACCAGTGTTACTATATCACACAACTGTTTCATCCTTCTAAGATTCGTCAGTGTTACTATATCACACAACTGTTTCATCCTTCTAAGATTCGTCAGTGTTACTATATCACACAACTGTTTCATCCTTCTAAGATTCGTCAGTGTTACTATATCACACAACTGTTTCATCCTTCTAAGATTCACCAGTGTTACTACACCACATAACTGTTTCATCCTTCTAAGATTTCTAAGATTCACCAGTGTTACAACATCACAACTGTTTCATCCTTCTAAGATTCACCAGTGTTACTACACCATATAACTGTTTCATCTTTCTAAGATTCACCAGTGTTACTATATCACACAACTGTTTCATCCTTCTAAGATTCACCAGTGTTACTACATCACAACTGTTTCATCCTTCTAAGATTCACCATTGTTACTACACCACATAACTGTTTCATCCTTCTAAGATTCGTCAGTGTTACTATATCACACAACTGTTTCATCCTTCTAAGATTCACCAGTGTTACTACACCACATAACTGTTTCATCCTTCTAAGATTCGTCAGTGTTACTACATCACAACTGTTTCATCCTTCTAAGATTCGTCAGTGTTACTCTGTTTCATCCTTCTAAGATTCGTCAGTGTTACTATATCACACAACTGTTTCATCCTTCTAAGTTTCACCAGTGTTACTACACCACATAACTGTTTCATCCTTCTAAGATTCACCAGTGTTACTACACCACAAAACTGTTTCATCCTTCTAAGATTCAACAGTGTTACTACATCACAACTGTTTCATCCTTCTAAGATTCACCAGTGTTACTACATCACAACTGTTTCATCCTTCTAAGATTCGTCAGTGTTACTATATTGCACAACTGTTTCATCCTTCTAATATTCACCAGTGTTACTACACCACACAACTGTTTCATCCTTCTAAGATTCACCAGTGTTACTACACCACATAACTGTTTCATCCTTCTAAGATTCACCAGTGTTACTATATCACACAATTGTTTCATCCTTCTAAGATTCGTCAGTGTTACTATATCACACAACTGTTTCATCCTTCTAAGATTCACCAGTGTTACTACACCACAACTGTTTCATCCTTCTAAGATTCGTCAGTGTTACTATATTGCACAACTGTTTCATCCTTCTAATATTCACCAGTGTTACTACACCACACAACTGTTTCATCCTTCTAAGATTCACCAGTGTTACTACACCACAAAACTGTTTCATCCTTCTAAGATTCGTCAGTGTTACTATATCACACAGTATCCGATATAATCTTCCGTCTTAAACTTACTCTTGATTTCGATATTGGATGAGGTTTTGTGTCTTACACTTGCCTGTGATGCCGCTATCGATTACATTTTACGTTAAGAACTTACCAGTGTTTCTACCCTCAAGTTCGTGATGCTTATATCTACATTAAAACCGCTCGAATTGCTCAACAAGACAGGACGTGATGTTTTCAGATAACTCTTCATCATAGCCTTGTATAGGCGATCCTCGTCGTTTTCTGGGAACACATATTCACCTATAAAACAGAAATGTATACATTCGTTTAATTTGTATTGATTAAAGATGTTTCATGTCTTGTGTAGACAATAGTTGATCGCAAAAATGAATTACAGAAATTACAAGTTATGAAATAATTAAGGATAGGACATCTAGATTAAGAAACATTATTTGATTATTTGTATACAGACACCGTTTAATAAGCGGAATAACTTGTTTGTCACTTATCACGTCTGCTGAAAAACTGAAAGACCGAAATACCGGAAGTAAAGTGCATAATTGAATAAAAAGGTTAATAAATACAGTCAACTTGACATATCGGATTGTTAAAGCCTTCGACAAACGATGAAAACATTGGGTTTTTTTCAAGAAGTGAAATAGTGAATGTTAGAAGACAACTCCAGGTAAAGATATGATGAGAATTATCATTACACTGTGGGTGTGATATTATCAATGTTAGAAGACAACTCCAGGTAAAGATATGACGAGAATTATCATTACACTGTGGGTGTGACAATGTTAGAAGACAACTCCAGGTAAAGATATGACGAGAATTATCATTACACTGTGGGTGTGACAATGTTAGAAGACAACTCCAGGTAAAGATATGATGAGAATTATCATTACACTGTGGGTGTGACAATGTTAGAAGACAACTCCAGGTAAAGATATGATGAGAATTATCATTACACTGTAGGTGTGACAATGTTAGAAGACAACTCCAGGTAAAGATATGATGAGAATTATCATTACACTGTAGGTGTGACAATGTTAGAAGACAACTCCAGGTAAAGATATGATGAGAATTATCATTACACTGTAGGTGTGACAATGTTAGAAGACAACTCCAGGTAAAGATATGACGAGAATTATCATTACACTGTGGGTGTGATATTATCAATGTTAGAAGACAACTCCAGGTAAAGATATGATGAGAATTATCATTACACTGTTGGTGTGACAATGTTAGAAGACAACTCCAGGTAAAGATATGATGAGAATTATCATTACACTGTGGGTGTGATATTATCAATGTTAGAAGACAACTCCAGGTAAAGATATGACGAGAATTATCATTACACTGTGGGTGTGACAATGTTAGAAGACAACTCCAGGTAAAGATATGATGAGAATTATCATTACACTGTGGGTGTGACAATGTTAGAAGACAACTTCAGGTAAAGATATGATGAGAATTATCATTACACTGTGGGTGTGACAATGTTAGAAGAGACATCTCCAGGTAAAGATATGATGAGAATTATCATTACACTGTGGGTGTGACAATGTTAGAAGACAACTCCAGGTAAAGATATGATGAGAATTATCATTACACTGTAGGTGTGACAATGTTAGAAGACAACTCCAGGTAAAGATATGATGAGAATTATCATTACACTGTGGGTGTGACAATGTTAGAAGACAACTCCAGGTAAAGATATGATGAGAATTATCATTACACTGTAGGTGTGACAATGTTAGAAGACAACTCCAGGTAAAGATATGACGAGAATTATCATTACACTGTAGGTGTGACAATGTTAGAAGACAACTCCAGGTAAAGATATGACGAGGAATATGAGTACAATATACTACAATGACTATCACACCAACCCCTGTCGATAAGACTATTCGGATAAGGTTCCCATTTCTAAATCTGTGGCATGATATTTTAAAGTAACTTGAAGTACTTTCTGTAATCCTACGCTATGTTCAGAAATCCAGCAGCTATCTCTACCGTCTGGGTGTCCTCAGAGCTTTTGTGTAAGATGTCACTTTCATACTTGGCTGACTAGTCTTGCATTATACCCGAATCTGTAGCTTAAGTCGTAAACAGCTCCCCTATAAATAGCTGTAACAACACAATGTCAACCACGGCTGTTTAAAGCACCGTTCGCTTAACATAAAATACTCTCAATCAAATGTCATTCCTTTTCACAGTAGATAAATATACAAGAAGCCTTACATAGTATGTCATTCTTTCTTAACATAAAACTGACATTCTGAATTAATTTTCTGTAAGCTTACATATGAATTTCAATTATATCGTTTATGATGTAAAAACATAACCAGCCTTTCAGTAAATTGTGCATTGTTCACTAGGCACAGATACCATCCAGTTTAACAGGGTTTGTATAACATTTTGTCACGTATACTACAGCTATTACATTAGATCTATACCACAATACAACACGCCCAACTAATGCACTGCAGACAGGTTAGTAAGTAACAACTAGATAAAATGGGTGATACATATGCATTTTATACTTATCTTTCTGTCTGTTTACATAAACCCGCGTACATGTATGTTTGTCCTAAATAATGACCTTACCTGCATCAGTACCGATATATACTGTAAACATAAAGGTAAACAGCTCACCTGTTGATGAGGATATTAACGACAGTACGTAGATAACTAAAACTATCATTAACCAGGCTGATATCTTGGATTCCATGATGCCGATTATTTCTGCTCCCAGTGGCCGCGGTCTCAGTCCTGTCGAGGTATGACGAGATATCCGAGCTACCTGGTTGTTAAACATCCACCAATCCACAGCATTGTTGATTCAAGAAGCGAGCTTTTTTATGTTCTATTCGAGACGCGACGTGTTCAGCATAATTAAATACAACTCGACAGAAAATATACATGATTACTGACCCGTGCAGAACGTTGGTGACAATAAGTTCAGGAAATATCGTTTATACTTATTATTTCCAAATGTCGTGGGAACATCACTGTTTAATAGACAACACTACTTTTGTCGTTATCTGAATGCTATGTTTTATATCATTCGGATAATGTTACGGTTCAGAATATACACATATATACACATTTACTTGACTTTGTTCTAAAATTAGTTGCTTTATTAAGATAACTGTTGTTTTAAGTTATGGGGCAGGTGCATCTCCCCATCTAGGTTTGGACTTTTCTTTCGATCACTTTGGATTTGTCCTCAGTCGCCTCCAAGGCTTCCAAATTTAGGCCCTTAGCATCACTGAGGAGTCCTAGAAGGACGAAAAAATGTATGATGTAGCATCACTGAGGAGTCCTAGAAGGACGAAAAAATGTATGATGTAGCATCACTGAGGAGTCCTAGAAGGACGAAAAAATGTATGATGAAGTTTATGTTATTGTTTGACTCTACTGTATCTAATTCTTAATTTGTATTAAATCTGTTTTTCACTCGTGTGTCTTTCGTATATTCTTTGTATATTGCGAGCTGACGATCAAAGGATTACTTATATGTTTAAATGTATATATATATTGTCAGAATACATCTGTGCATCGGTCAATCAATAAATGCTCATATCGATTAGTACTGATTTACATAATTAATTTTAGAAAAAATTATAAACGATTGATTCTGATAAAAGATATGATTAATGTATATCAAAGTGATAAGATTACTACATACAACATGGTAATAACCAACGGATAAGGTCAAATTACTGTAACACAGAGTTAGATCATTATAATTGATCAATACAATGTGTAGGAGGTAGTGTTGACAATGTTAGATTGTAGGATGTCTTAAATATTTAACTATGTAATTAGGGATAGAGGTAATTAGTGGATTAACACATAGGTATTCAATTACTACCACATTATACACATCGTATTTAGCACGGGAAAAGCTAACCCTATGTAAATACAACATGTTATTCGGCTAAAGGAACTAATTATACGTTTTCTGTTACTTTTAATGCAGTTTTGCTTCTGCGGTCTATATAAAGAACGAACTTACCTTAAATGCCGTTTAAAATAACTTCCTCCTGATGAAAACATGAGTGAGTTTCTTGGCTTGATTGAACGCAAAGTCGAACACAAGTTATTTCTGTTACAATATCAAGGATGACACACAGCACATATTAGAAAACATAAAATAAGAGTTACCAGCCAAATCCTCCTGTAGAACCATGGGATTGAAAATGAATATTCAAATAGTAAAATGAGATAAATTAATCAGTATTTTTCAAATTTTATAGTTAAAAGAGTGAAAAAAATATATTTCAACGAACATGATTTTATCTCATAATCAAACTTGATGAAATCATGTCAAAATATTAATAAAAGAAGAATTACATTACAACACATGAACAATAACAGGAAGAATAAGACCGGGAGGGTAAGAGTCTTCATTAAAGATTTGGATCATATCTTCGTGTAAGTAATGCCACGTTCCTAAGTGAGAACAAGGTAAACCAGACAAACTGCCGAGCATCATCCACTTCTATCTTGATGTCGTACAAGGAAATAGAAGATTTCCTAATGAAATGATTTCGAATTTCTATTAATCTTCAACAATCTACACAATTTTCATCTTTCAAAACGCTAAGTTGTCAGTTTATCTGTCAGTTTTTGACATGAGCAAGCCTTTGAATATCCAATATCGAATACGACTTACGTCATAGATTGGGGAAAGCATGGATGTTGCTATCTAGAAAGGAAATAGAAATGTCACAGTAGAGATATTGAAATCACCACGCTTACCACACACTTTGTGGAAAGCTGTTCCTGTTTGCTTCGTTGTAGGCAGCTGATAAAGAAGAGTTTATCGATTGGGTATATATCCTGTATATTGTCAATAAGTTTAAAAGACAAGGAAACATGAATTTATCTAAAATTAAAATGTCACCATCTAACTCGCCGAAGATATTTTCAGGTAAGACTGATATTAAAATAGAAATTCTGATAACACAGCCAATATAAGATTAGAGTGTGACGTTATGATGACTACATCTTCAGTCAGACAATTAAAGATTTGGTCCTCCGTATGTTTTCTCTTTTATTCAGACATATACTTTTCACGACATAAGCTCCAGTATTGTTAACAACCGTATGTTTTTACTGTCGTTAGAGGCTTCCTACATTATCCAGGGGTTGGGATTACTCTATGTGATTTGCGACAAATGTTTCTCATTGTGATACCATTAAAGTTGTTAGATATAAATTCATGGATCAAGTTATAATATCACATGGATCAGAGGTGTACCTATACTTCTCATTAACATTTCTTGGAAAATATTATTCAGAATTAACTCTCCGCCTTTTAAAGATTTCTTTGAATCTTCTTTTCCTAAAATATGGTGTCGAGTTTTTAATAAGCATCCAAGACATTTTACCTGACATCATAGAGAGTGAAAACTAAATAAGATGATACAATGGCCTGGCCACAGACAGTCTACATCGTCACAGTTATACTGTAAAACGATGTATGGTACAGAATAGTCAGACGTCCTTATATAGAAGAAATACCTTTTCAACAGAGGACATTCAAGAATGGTTAAAACTCAATGATACCATCCATTCCCGTTCTTATCCTGCAATAGAAATCAATTCATGTGTCGGAGTGTAAGATAAGGATATTCCATCTAATGTCGTAAAACCAGAGTTTATGTCGAGGGCTTTATCACACATTGTGATCTCGAGGGTGAATTATCCCAACCTTCACTTCGAGATGTCAAAGGTTTATTTTCTCTCATTTCTAATTTCAAAATAATGGTTTCAGTCAATATGTCATATCTTTATTATACAATCAATGTACAGACTGACACCGAAAATAAATTCTCCGAACCTAGATTTGGCAAAGATAGTTTGCCATAGAAAATATAGATAGTTACTGCAAGTAGCTATTTGTACACATGCGAGTATACATTGTATCAAGTGATGACGTCAGTTGACAAGAGACGCGTCACATTTCTACGCGCGCGTGCCTGTATTGTATTGGTGGGCAAACCTGGTGGGTGCATTACCCTGGACAGACCAGTTGTACACAGGAAGATAGAAGAGACATTTTTATATCGTCTTCTCCCGGTAGTAAATTTCATTGAGTATAGGTGCAAATTTAAAACAAGAATTTGAAGTGATTACATTGATATGATTGTTATAAGTATGCTGGTGATCTGACATTCTAAACGATGCTATTGTGATGCTCTCCTCTGTCCACCGATTTTCCGATTTCTGTCGTTAAGGTTTATCATACATTGGTTCCAGCTAATGTCTGTCGCCATTTACCTCTCAGTTGGAGCACAAGCATTAGAAGAAAATAACACATTCCTTCATCTCGGCATGATGTTCATTATTGTCAATGTAATGTTTGGACTGACACGTAACCGTATTTCATAATTTCAACCCCAGAAGTGCTGCAAAGCTTTAAAGTTAGACACAATTTATTGATTTCAACTTCCGGAGTGTCACAATGCTTTAAAGCTAGACAAAATATCATAATTTCAACTTTCGGAGTGTCACAATGCTTTAAAGCTAGACAAAATATCATAATTTAACTTCCGGAGTGTCACAATGCTTTAAAGCTAGACAAAATATCATAATTTCAACTTCCGGAGAGTCACATCGCTTAAAGTTGGACACAATTTAGACACATATTGAATGAAATCGGTTGTTTAACTATTACTACATGTAACTTCAAAAAATATTGTTAAAAATTTCATTTCTGTCCTGATATAATCACATAATTGGTATTCATTTTTTAAAATGATGGATGTTTTGAAACGGAATTCCATTTTCTGTATCTTGAGTTATTTCCCTTGACACGTGAACATGATCAGTCGTGCACGCCCTAATGAATTATTTCATCATAAAGTTATGGTTTTATGTTAATGTCATGATCGTATTTTAGCACTTAATTTGATGTTTTCCTTATTTATATCATTTTGCACTGTAATGAATGTTCATCATTTCTGTTCGTCGCTACATTTTTTCCCCACTGTTTACGCTCTTTAGGCAGTCTGTATTGTATTTTGACGAGAGCATTGCACACGATTTTATGAATTTATCAAAGAGAGATTAATATAATGTTTGTAATGAAAATAAACCTGGATCTTGGAGACTTTTGTCATAATCAATGAAAAAATCAGGGTAATGTGTACATTGACGTAATATTTGAAAATTTGTTTAAACACAGAAGATTTACCAGAAGATATAAATCCATAATACGGATAATGTTTTCAAGTAAAGGTAAGTATTTATCAACATGCTAGGGCAAGCCATGCGTCGGGTTATGAACAGGGGGTCACTCAAAAAATAAAAACATATGTCAGCGATTTCAAGTTTGCAGAAATTCAGTCTTTTGAACATAACGAATAAAATACATCATCTGGCGTGACAGCCATTACAATATGAAATAAAAGGATAAAACATCAGAAGTGCACACAATATAGGTCATGCATAAATAGCATACGACACATATAAATAGCATAGGTCATATATAAACAGCATAGGTCACATATAAACAGCATAGGTTATACATCATAAATATAATAGGTTTTACATGAATAGTATATGTCATAAATATAAATAGCATAGGACATACATAAATAGCATAGGACATACATAAATAGCATAGGACATACATAGATAACATAGGTCATAAATTAATTAAAGGTCCGTTGATGGTTAACAGCTTAAGACACCAAATGATAACAAATATAGAAATAACAAGAT